ATTAGCATTGCTTGGTGGAGGAGTAGGAGGAGCACTTTGCATCGCTCGCCAAATATTATTCATATTAGCATTGCTTGGTGGTGGAGGAGTAGGAGGAGTACTTTGCATCGCTCGCCAAATATTATCCATATTAAGATTACTTGATGGAGGTGGAGCACTACGTCGCATTGCTTCCCATTGCCGAGCAAGATTAGAATCTGAAGAAGATCGCGGTAAATTTTCCGATGCTGTTCTTGCCCTATCCCACACATCTCTTACTAAATTATGAACATCAGCTGGAGGTTGTCTTCGATGATCGGGTCCAGAATCGGGATCATATGAATAACGACGAGGACGTGGTGGACGTCTGTGATAAGTATCATCCTCGGAATCTGAAACTTCGTGACAAACAAGTCGCCGACGACGACGACGTAAAGGAGAGAAGATAGAAACTTCCATTGGACCACATACATCTTTTTAAATATTCTGTATACTATTTATTAATATTTTAAGAATACTACTTACTTCGACAACAGCTATTGAGAGAACCACACGGTTGTAATATATTCATATTAACACCAGACCGTTGTAATGTGTTCGCATTAACACCAAACCGTTGTAATGTATTCGCATTAACACCAAACTGTTGTAAAATGTTTTCTATTGGCATATTTTCTAGCGAAAAATTAATATTTTTTATTGCCAATTTTTATACTTTCAAAAAAACAAGAAGCAAACCTGGCACTTGATATGCAAGTGTATTTGTGTTGCATATACTTGAATCTATTTGTGGAACACAGTTTAAAGCGACTGTTGGCGATTGATAGCAACATAGATCACCTATTGATGGTGTAATATTCTGTTGAATACGAGTTTATTCTCACTTAATTCATACATAAAATTGTACCTACCGATAATAATGTATTTATATCATTAGTACAAACTGGCATTGCACATGTTTGATAACCACAATAGGGAAATTCATAGACTGGACTACATTCCATTGCTGTCAGATAGTCCATGGTAACCGTTGAATATTCTTTACCTATTCCTATTGAAAAAATGAGCGAATAATATAGAACGTACGAATACACGACGACCTTGTATGTATGTCTACCTCAATTTAACCATGAATTGTGTTTTACGAGGCCAACCTACTTTTTTAGTCACAAGGTTTTTATTGAGATAAAATTATCGAGAGTCATATTTATTTTAATCGAATAATTGAGCAATAGCAAAAAGGATTCTTTCGAAAAAACGAATAATTATCTTTCTCAAGCAATGATTGCTATCTTATCGAATATACAAAAAAAGTAGTAATCAATCAATATGGTTCACTATTTTATAATACGTTCCACTTGAATAAATATTAGCACAAAGAACAAGAGCATGAAACGATCAATGAACCTTGTTCTTGCGTTTATCATCAGAAGAAAAAAAAAGAAGAACAAAAAATAAAATAAATAAGAACAAAATTAGGAATGTAAATTGATTATAAAAAAAAAAAAGAGAGAAATATTGCTTTTTCTTTGTTTTGATTGAAATACATTCATTGATCACTGTTGAACAAAAAAATCAATTAAAAAGATCATCAAGTTCAGAAGATGCACTTTTTGAATGTACGATATTCGATGATGTAGTAGAACCTTTGATTACAGTGGAGCCTGGTGGAGGTGGTGGGTGAAATAAAGCTATATTATTTGTTGTTCCAGAATTATTAAAATAAGGTGAAGGCATTGATGATTTTGTTATCATTGAATTCATT